TTCTGCGTTTACTTCGCGCTACAGAATTCAATCACTTCCTTATTGATTTCTCCGAAAAGCAATAAATAAATATTCCTCATAACAAGGTTGATTACAAATTGTCATGTCTATCATTGTTCTTCAAGTTATATTCAATTTTGAAATCCCAGATGGAAAAAATTTTTGCAGGGGATTAAAAAAAATACAAACATGTTTGCTCACGATATGTAATTCCATTTCGTTTGTTGCGACACTATTTTGTAATCGAAGTATTCGTGCAAACTTAGTGGGATATCAGAAGTTTTTAGGTTGAAAACTATTTGCTCAAACTATTTGAAATTGAAAAAAGTGCTACTGAACAATGGGAATAAAATATATTAAAAATTATTATTTTTATTTTGTAAAAAAAAACATTTACTTTAGGATTTTTTTTTAAATGTGCCAAAAATAATTACTGTCCATTTTTATGATTTTATTGTGTTAGCAATTAGGTCCTCGACTTCATTTAAATTTTTTTATAAGTTTTGTGTGTAGGAACGTTTCATTTTCTTCAACAGCTCCCTTGTAGTGATGTTGTTGTTGTAATTCATTTACGTCGCACTAGAGCTGCACAATGGGCTGTTGGAGACGGTCTGGGAAACATCCCCGAAGATGATCCAAGACATGCCATCACAATTTTGGGATGGCACCCCCGCTTTCCGTAGCCCAACGACCTGCGCGCGAAGTCGAGCACTTTACGGTAGCACAGTTTAACGAGGACCAATACCGCACACCCTCGGTCCCTACGCAGACTGATCCAAGTGGGTAAACCCACCCGCACACTGACCTCAGCCAGTGATGCTTGACTTCGGTGATCTGCTGGGAACCGTGTTTTAATGATCAGTCCACTACGGGACTTAGGTTCCAGTAAATGATCCGTTGTGAAAAACAGTATATGCTCCATTGAATGAATGCTAAGAGGAACAAAATTGTCATAAATTCTAAGCAGAGTAATTGTGCCTCATGTGCTCAGTAGAGTACGAGAAATCTCGCACTTCAAGCGTAATATGGGCCATAGCGTAGAGCGAAATTGTCATTTATGTTACAATTTTCAGAATTTTACTTAGCAATCAAAAACCTGTGAAACTTAGAAATATTAAATTCTACAAATTTCAATATTTTAAAGCCCTTGTGGCCGAAAAAGTTATTGTTAAAAAGAACTAATTTTCCTTTCTGTCTTCTAAATTATACAAAAACGCAGCTCTTGCTGCAATCATTCACGTCGTTTCAGCAGTGATGGCTCAAGGGAGGGAGCGTTCCTCTTCCAATGAGGTAAACCGGGTTTGAATCCCAGCGACGACTGATGGATTCGAATTCCGCACTCGGCTTGCACTGATCACAGAGCTGATGTAAAATATCCGCAGCGGTAGGCGTATCATGGGTTAGAGTCCCCTTGCCGNGAGCGTTCGCCTTCCAATGAAGTGAATCGGGTTCGAATCCCAGCGACGACTGATAGATTCGAATTCCGCACTCGGCTTGCACTGATCACAGAGCTGATGCAAAATATCCGCAGTGGTAGGCGTATCATGGGTTAGAGTCCCTTTGCCGTCAGTCTAAACATTGGAGTTTTTCGAGGTTTTCCTCTCCATGTGACGCAAATGCGAGTAAGTTTTATCAAAAAGTTCTCCACTAAGGCAAACTTCTCCCAATATTTGATCCAGGAATTCCCTTGTCTTCTGAATTGCGTTCAAAATGACAAGGCTACGGTTGAACATTATTCCCAAAATTGGATCGGCAGTTCGGTGACCGTTATGAAATAAAAAATAAAAATATACTTTTCGTAATATAAAAGTATTTTGACAGTGTTCGCCATTCTATTTATTTATTAAAATTACGACCTGCTGTGTGCTCTAAATAGTTTATGCTATATGAACCCTCTACTTTAAAATGTAAAACACAAAAAAAAAAAAAATGAAGTTTCTGCTCACTGCTATTATCTTCATATTTCTATTGCACTCCGAGACAAGTGTCTTTCAATACTTCTTTAGTTTCAACCAATCCTGTAAAATAAAATTATTTTATATAAGATGTCTCAACTGGTCGAAATCACAAGCTTTTAAATGAAATATATATATATATATTTCATTTAAAAGCTTGTGATTTCGACCAGTAGTCGTTTTTGCCTATCATCCTCGAAACCACCAACTTCCTGGTTGAACGGTGCCAGAGTGTCTGAACGGGAAAAGTCCCGAAATATTAAATTAACTTATTCTTTTCCTTAGAACAATTTAATTTTAGTCATCAGTCTTTGTTCAGCAACGCTGCGTGTAGGCAGCTCTCCTTGATGTATGTTGCTGTTATACTTATTTTCCTTCCTTATTAAATTTGTTAAGTTTAATTCTTAAATTAATTATTGTTTTTCTTCCTCCCTTGCTACACAAATCACTAATATATATATTTCAAATTTTGCGCCGTTCTTTATTTTCTACGAATTCAAAGTTATTTTTAAATCTTACTTATTATCACGCAGTTTTTATATGACGTATACAATAAAAACTAATATGAAATAAAATCACAGCTTTTTTAAGCCTTCCTATTTTCTATGTTTACTTTCATATTTCCACCGCTGTTTTGGGTGCTTTACATTTTGTTTAGAAGTGCAAACTTTTGAAGACTTAGAAACTCGAAATTACGAATGTGTGTTGAAAAAAAAATACAGTGAGTACGAAGAAATTAAATAATTTAAAATTCGACTTTAAGGTAGAGAATTAATAACTGTGAAAAAATAACATGTTTTTTCAATCTGGAATTTTAAAAAATTAACTCGTTTTAATTTCAGGAATAAAAAAGGCGCTTTCAAACTTCAAATTTCATCTCTGTAGTTGTATTTTAGTGTTCTGTGGATGGGAGCACAAGCACACACCAGCATTTCCCCCTTAAAGGGGCATTTATTGGTAGTTGTAAGGCAAGGCAGTTAGTAAAAAGAGAAAAAAAAAGCAACAAAAAAAATATTTTATTTTTTTTAAAAAGCACAGAAATTTTGAAAAAAATATTTTTCTATTAGTTGGGGCATTTTGTTTTTAAAGTATTTCGAACTAATTGGTCAAGTTTAGTAGTAGTTGGGCCTCAACATGGCATAATTTTGTCATTTTTTCATGAAATTTACTTCAGGATTTCATAGTATTCCTGTCGAAAATTATTCAGGTTGGTTGCCTTCTGTTCAACTTAAAATTCTTATAGATAGATCTCCCCAGTCTATAAGGAAGCTAGCAAAATTGGAACTAAAGAGTGATCAGCCTATTTCAAAACTACACTTAAGACCGAGAGAATTTTATTTCTCACTAACTTAATCTACTTTTCGATGCCAATGGAAAGGTAATGTCTTACCTATAATTTGTGCAGAAATCAGCTGATAAGCAAAAAGGGGCTTTGTTTACATCAATTCAAGAGACAAACAGTAAAGGATGGAATGAGGTCGAGAAGAGAAGCGAGGTGTTATTGAACACGCTGAGGTCTCATTGACTGAGGTGTTATTTCATCTTGTGCACTATGCATTTCTTCATTTGATCATTTTCTATCGTGTTTATTTGTGGTTAGCATGGTTGAAAATTCACTTTTTTTAAACACAAGAGTTCAAGTTTATGGTCAATTCCTTGAAGAAGGTAAAATTTAAGGAATCACAACCTTCCCATAAAGAAAAAAAAATTCTTAATCACATTAATTTTAGTTAATATTCTAAATGAACTTTTTTTAATAAATTAATCTCAATTTCATAAATATTTTAAGGTAATATTACATAAGAAAACCACCTCCGAATGATTACTTCTTTTTTCTGCTATTAAACCCAATATGAAAAGATACGTACCTTTTAGCAAACTTAATTTCGATCACTTGCATTGGTTAATGCAAAAACAATTCCTTTTCTAACACAATTTGTACATGAGTATTTTTGTATTTTCTTAAAGTCTGTTCAGTCCTAATGATATTTAGGAAGATGAAGAAAAATGAATGGCAGGAAATTAATAAGAAATACTTTTGGATATCATTTCCATGGTCGTTATGCCAAGTTGTCAATTTGTGTTTATTTCTTAATGAACACAATAGAGTCATATTGATACCAATATGCATTCTTTATTCTTAATAATTCTAATAATATTTCGTTTTAAGTAAATCATTTTTTTTCTCAATAACAAAAAATCGTTAAGATATATAATGTATTGCTGCTTGGATTGATTTTTGATTGCCTCAACTATATACATGCGGGGGATTAAATTTGACCGAAAAAGTTTTTTAAAAATGCATTGTTTAAGGTTAGAATTTATCGTATGTCTCAAATCTGTCAATCCTTATCTTCCCCTCTGCTGACCTTATGGGTGGACCTCACAATGTTCAAGCCCAAAGCGTCCTGTAGCGTCCATCACGCAATCGGGGGCAACCACAAACGATTTGTAGCTTATAAATTTTGTGGTGGGGTTAAATTTCATTGTTATTATCAAAATTGCTGACTCACAACCTAACAACAACAGCAATAACAACATATATTACCTTACAGGCATAAATATTTACCATAAGTGGATATGCAATATCGATAGATAAAATGAGATGACAGAAAATTGCCAATGTTATGTCTTTTTTAAATTTTGTACTTTATGAAATTTAAACGACGATGTATAAATCTGAAAAGCAGAAAAGATTTTGACTTGTAATAATGTTGTTACAGGTGACATTTGCTCTGTAATTGTGATGTTAGAACGAGTTGCATGTTTTGTGATTATTATGAACAATCTGGTTAAAATAATTTTATACATTTGTGTGGTGGCAATGACAACTTAATCTATTTGTTCAACAAAAAAACGTAATTTTATTTTTTAGCAAATATTACACTTAGGTTTAATTATTAAATTTGATAAATTATATTCGCATTTTAATTAAATTTGTTAGATTCCTATTATTATTAAATTTGATTAGTTATTAAATTTAATTTGTTAAAACAACTTCACCATACTTGATTTTCCGAATTGAATCTGTATAAAATATGCACCTTTTTAAACGCAAAAATATTTTATTATCATTTTTGTAGGTTCAGAATAAATGAGACATAAAGCTCTAAATAGATATAATTTCGAGTTTTAAGCTTAAAACAAGTTCTTCCAGGTCCATGGTGAAACATTGTTATTTTCCACCACCAGCTCCCATTCCAGATCCACCACTACCTCCGGCACCCATTCCAATGCCTCCACCCACTCCAAATCCCATTCCCGCTTGAGCTTGTGCTCCACCTCCAGCACCAGCTCCAGCTTGACCACTGCCTTGACCTTTACCTTGGCTTTGAGATTTACCTTGAGGTGCTCCATGGGTCAGTAAAATAAGTGCAGCACACAAAAGTAGGATCTGAAAATACACCAAGCATTAAAACAGCATAACAAACCGCAAGATGCCTCTTACTTTGTTCTAGCCTTTTTTCCTAATCACGTTGTTTTTTGATATTGAAATTACTTTAAACTTTGATTTGCAGTAACGAGAACAAAATAGCAAAGCAGCAACTTTTCAAATGTGCAGTGCGCCAATTGAGCCACATTGTGCGGACCACACTGAATAACTTTTGTTTAAGTGATCGAATCTTCACGGACTCAAACTTAATAGACTCAAACTTTTTCAACTCATTTCGATTTCTGACCCCCTATTTAAAGGATAAGAAATCCAAATGCGTCGAAAAAAAGACATGTTTGTTTGGAGAAAGCACGTTTTGTGTTTTATTCGGTAACTTAAAATATCGTCTGCACTAAATCATTAGCATATTTCCGTCCATCCCCTCGAACCATTAAGTTTGGGTCCTAGAACGTGAAGATCCGATCATTTGATAAAAAGTTATTCAGGGTAGTTCTTTTTTTTGTGCACTGTACATGTAACGTCGATGAAAAATTACATGGTTCATAAGAGCATCAACACGTTTGAATGTACAAACGTCGATTTTTTAGATTTTAATCCAAGTTTCAGTTCTAACAGATGACTATAGAATTGCTTGAAACGTTTTTAGAATGTTGTTCTATTGCTTAGATCTTCAAAAAATACGTCTGTAAAATGCAACTGTAAGGTTTCATTAGTTATTGCAGAAGTGCTAATGCTTTCGAATGTACATGGTAAATGAAAAAGTCTGAAACTTAAAACAATTTCGTCTTTTCAACAAAACTTTCTTTTCTTAGAACAGATTTCCTAAAAAAATTTTTTAACTTACATAGATTTGTTTACGATATATCTGAATTGTTTACGATATATCTGAATTGTTTACGATATACAGTGATTAGAAAACATGCAATCAAGTTAATTCTTAAAAACATTTTCTAGCATTTTAAAAGAGTCTGCACTCATAAAATGTGGGAAACACTTTGATAATGTCTGCAGGTTATTCCATCATTCGAACCCTTATTATCTATCTACAGTTTCCTAGTCAAGAAAAGAAAATAAAGAAGTGCTTTTTAATGAAATAATTCTTGAGCAAGAAAAAAACAGTAGAAATTTGACTAAAAAATGTATGAATTAAAAACGTTAAACCGTGTTTGAAACCGAAATGGTTGCCATAACTTTAAGGTGCTTGTAATCATCGCCACTCTTATAACAAGACAATCAAACTGGTTTGATATTTGTAATTATTCGAAATTATCAGTACAACGAATAAGCTAAAAACAACGAATATCCAGTTTACCTTATTGTGATAGGGACATACGTTATCAGGTAAAATTATATACATTAAGATGATGTAAAATTTGTATACTTTACAATGCAAAAAATTTTCTATTATTATTTAATGAAATAATAAATAAAGAAATACTTACTATGCAATTTTCTTTGGTTAAACGAATTTCATAATTGTGTCCAAAACATTTTCAATTTACTTCAAAAGTTCTAGAGGTATGGCGAGATACGCAAAAAGTAAAATTATCAATAGGACTCCAAATTTTGAATGGTTCTCTTGGTCAAACTATGAAGACCATATTTCTCAGACTGCGGCCATCTCCATATATTTTAGTCAATCTCACACCGTTAAAGAAAAAAAGTATGTTTATGAAGAGAAAGTACGTTTTCGTGTCTGATTTCATAACTTAATTTATCGTCTGCATCAATCAATTAGCATATTTGAGGTCACCCACTCGAACCATTAAAAATAAGTCTAAGAGCGTGAAGATCCGATTGTTAAATCAAAAGTTATTCAGAATGATCTGGCACATTGTGCAACATTTACATTAAATTTCGAAACAATTGAATATTGAGAAACTTTATATAAGTAATTAGTGATAACTAAGGCCCGGATTTTGATGGCATTTGCATTTTTTTGCATTTTTGGACATTTTTTGTCTTTTAGAGCATTTTTTAAGACTTACAGGGCATTTTTCTTGAAATTTTGGGGCGTGTTTTGCATTTTTTAGAGATTTTTGGTAATTTTTTCCAATTTTTATTATTTTTTATCAATTTTCATTATTACACTGGCTTCCAAACAATGAAGAAAATCTCTAGGATATTAACAGGTAAAGCAACATCTTTTCAAATAGAAGAAGAATTGTCAGTAAGTAAGACCGTCTTTTTCAAGTACGTCCGTCTTTTTCAAGTTGTTATATCCATTAAAGTTTCTATACAAAATAAAAATATTTTGGTGTCAATATATTTTCCTTTTTTTTGTTATTTTAGGATATAAAACATATTTTTCAAACTTTAATGAACATAGAACAAGTATTGCAGCGCTTTATATCTTTTAAATGACTCATAATAATTTTAAAGAGCAAAACATTTTTTTAATTCAATATTTTTACTTTATTTAAGGCATTTTTTGTGCAATGTTTGCATTTTTAAGGGCAATTTTTGCCCTTCTTAAGGGCATTTTTTGCACTTTTTAAGGGCATTAGTTGAATTTTTTTAGGTCATCAAGATCCAGGCTCTAGTGATAACTCAATCAATAGACGGAAAAGTCTTGTAAATCAAAAAAAAAGAAAGAAAAAATTAGTTGCAGAAAAGCATTGACGATGTGAGATAGGAATTTTCTGAACTATTTAAAATGTTTCCTTCAATCTTTGCTTCAAAATAAAATATTTTTAAAACATTAATCATTTTTTATTACTCAAAATTCAAATCATAAAGAGAATTAATAACTCTGAACAAGGAATGCTTTGAAGAATAAAGTTAAGTTACGATCCTTACATTTAAAATATATTTTTATAATTGCAGGCATTATAATGATAAGTAACGTTTTTCAAATTATTCACGAAAGTAAATTTAGTTAAAAATACAATGATTTATATTCATTTCGTAGCTACTTCTAGAATCTTGTAAAATTTTTATTTAGACGCGATAGTAAGAAACAGTTTGATATAAAACTGATATATTTGAAATTCCAAATTTTGGATGGTTCTCTTGGTCAGTCGAATTATCAATCAGTCAATCAGTCAAATTAAGGTTAGATTTAAATTTTTTAATGCAATGCGGTTAAATTTTTTTCAAGGAAACAATCGTTTTTCATTTCAGAATACAATCGATAAATTGTAGAAACTTACACGTTATAATGAGAATATGCCAAGCATCCGTGTTGTGTATTTTGTTACAATCATCAAAAATAACCAATTTTTACCATAATTTGATAATTACAAATATTTTCTTTATTTGTAATTAAGCACAATACTAAAGTTTAACAATTTACCAAGAAATTTTTTTTTAAATAGTTTAAAAAATCTTGGGAATTGTTTCACTCGCTTTTAATTCGTTTTCGTACATAATTTGAAATGGAAATTCCGACCATATATTTACTAGCTAGAGTATTTAAATATATATTGAAGCACTTTTTTCTGATGACACCGTAAGTTTTAATAGTTTATTATTTCCAAACGCATTGTAATTGCCAAAAATGTTTATTAAAATATTACAGCTAATTAGTGTAGTCAAATGCTAACTTGTGTTGAATGACAATATAAGTTTCAATCAGTTACTAAAATTTGAAAGTAGATTTATCACCAAAATTTATTTACCATCAATCTAAATTCGAAACTCTTTCCAATTAGCTAGAATGATCAAGTGTATCCGTTGAAGTTAATACAAGTTACGATTGCTTTCCAAATCATGCAAGCAATTATTATGGTCAAACGAAGTTTTACGCTTTTATGGCAGTTTCGTCCAAATTGTTACAGTAGTGACCATCATCGCAATGTAGGAATTCTAACTTATTTATGATGGTCAAATTTGTTTTAATGGTTTGTTGAGCCATCAGAAATTTCCATCATAGTTTCTTAGGAATCAAATGTTGGAGCAATCATGAACCACTATCACCCTAATGTAGGAATTTGGACAAGATGTATGATGGGACAACATAAAAAAAAAAACAAATTGTATTGATGGTTTATTCCTGAGAGACCTCATGGACCATCACGGATCATCATAGATGGTTGGTCAAATTCTTCTGATGGTTAACCATCATAGTGTATTAAAGTAACATTTTCCATCATGGAATGATGGAAGTTTGTCCACATATCATAAACCATGAACGCATAATGGTTTGATGTTGGATGATGGTGACCATCAAATGATGCTGGACTCTCATGAATCGCACTGAAACCACAAAAATTTTTGATGAGACAATCAATATTTTTGACTTGATTAATAGTGTTACATATTTTATGGTTTTTAAAATAGCAATTAAAGCATATTATTTATACACCAAATGAGAAAATTAAATGCATTTTCAAAACTATTGTGCTTTAATAAGTAATAATAAATATAACCAATGCAAAATAACCAATATAGATGTAAATACTTACAAATGTTTTCATGTTGAAGCTCTTTTACAGAAGGAAAAATATCTTGCAATATTAGCTAATTATCAAAATCGATAAAATAGCATAGAAACCTGACGCGTATATATACCATTAATTCCCATATGCATTGCGTGATATTTTGCACGTATTAACAAATATTTTGTATCATGAAATTAAGGTTGTTTTTTTTTCCCTTTTGCCTTTTCACACGATTTTAAAACATTTGAAGTCAATATGCTTACTGCCACTAAATATCACGCTATAACCATTATTTCTTTTAGTTCTCTTCCAGGAATGTATAGTAAGAATGAAAACAGGAAACTTTTTAACAAATGAATTGTATTCGTTTTATCAAATGTACTAGAATAATTGTTAACATTTCCGGTCAAGTAAACAGGAAAAAATGGTGTTAATTCTAAATGGCTCGAGGGCAATTTCATAACTTATTGACAAATTTTTGAAAAAATGATTCTCAAGTTTTGTCAAAAATACATTCAGACTTAAGGGAAATTTTAAACATTGACCGGGAAACCTTTAAAGTGGAAATTTTAGAGATATGAAAGTTTAAGTAAAATTTTTAAATACTTTTATAAGCTATCATTCCATTAGTTTAGCTAAAATTATCCTCACACGCAAGACCAATTTTAAACATTTACCGGGAACTTTAAAAGGTAAAATTTTAGATTTTAATTAAATTTAAATTTAAATTTTAATAAAATTTTAAATAGATTTGTAATCAAGTATGTTGTTAATTTAGTCAAAATTACTCTCACACTTAAGGTCTATTTTATACATTCACCGAGAACTTTGAATGAAAATTTTAGAATTTTTATTAGTCCGGTCATTTGACTGGCAATGGTAGAAATAGTATATATTAAGTGTTGGTATGTTTAGTGTTTAAAAAAAATTTATTTGTGCTTTTCTATGCACTAGAAGTACAATAAAAGTTTCATAATAATTTTTTCAAAAAAAGAGTGCTTAATCTTTTAAATTTTCAGAAAAGCAATATGTAAAAATTGAGATGCGGAAATTCAAAAAATTCAGTAATAGTTTATATCATCTCTAAGTTTACATCTGAATTTACACTATCTCACAGTTACATAACTAAATTTAAATAAACTCTGAGTTCACACCATTTCAAAGTTTACATCATCCTAAAATTGATTCTTTGAGTTTATATAACCTTTGAATTTTATAAAATGAAAAAAATAAAATAAAAAACATCAGATATATAAAAATCAAGTATTTGTGCAAATTAACACAAAATTACCAATAGTATTTGATATATTACTTTTAAAGACTATGTTAATAACAAAAAATGCAAAGCAAATGGCAAATATAATTTTTTTTACTGTTTTAAACATTTTTTTTTCTTTTGAGAAATTTGATCATTTTAAAGAGCATTATATTTTTAGTAATATTTAGTAAGGATCATTATATTTAGCAACGTAAAAACCCATAAAGAAATTTTCAAGAAATTTTACTTTGTTACATCATTAAATTTTCCTTTATTAGATAAAGGGAATTAAAAATATTTTAATTGCTTTCGGTAACTCTTCTCCTATCATTTAATAACTTAAGCAACCTCAGCACACTCGGTTTTGAATTTTTAAGTTTTTAAAGAAAATGATTCCAAATAAATATTAGAAGTATGGCATTTTTTTAAAATCAAACTGTTCCTTAGTATTCTTTCCAGAAATGTGTGCTACAAGCGTTATGGACTGTTAGTATTACTACGAAATATCAAAAAAATACGCATGTAAGAATCTTTTCAAAAACCGTAACTCACAAAAAAACGCTTCCTCACATTGGAAAAATTTACGTTGCGACTCGGTATTTAATTAACTTATCGTTAATTAGCATTCTAGCTTATGTAGAGAAACTTAACTCAACTTTAATACGAAATTTTGTTGATGAAGATTATCTGGCGCTGCGTCACGTGCGTATTTAGGTCATCGCCATAGGTCACGTGCGTGGTCATGGGAGGTCTTCTTCTTCTTCTTGAAATGCAAGTACCCAATTGCAGTTGTACCTTAAGACGAATCCAGTACCTTATAAAAAGGGTAAGAGCACTTTTCTTTTAAGAAATGAGACTTTATATGAAATAGATGACGGAGAAATCATATGTAAATTGCCTTCACCATCAATGACATTATCTTCATCGCGTCAAAAGCAATCAATTACCCTGTGAATTACATTGCATATGACATCTCCATGGACTAGATAAAGAAGCCATTTTTTTTAAATATTTATAACTAAGATTTATTTTCAATATTTTGTTTAATTTTCATTTAGTACCAAGATATTGTACACCAAGTACAATACTTTAGTACCAAGATTAGTACCAAGAATACCCTGTACCCCAAAGTACAACATGGTGTTGTGCCGTACAACATGGTGTTGTGCCTACTTAGAAAGGAATACTTTAAAAGGGTGTAAAAAAATTATTACTCCCACAAATTAAACTATTTTTAATTTTAAAGTGCTTATAGATTCTTTAAATGGTAAGCAATACATCACATACATCTCTATTATAATCTCTATCGAAGTAATTTTTTTTCCAATGGCAGGCACTGAATGAAGTAAAATTAAAAATATCTGTTTTCAAACTGTTCCTAAGTCCCCTATTTTATTGTTAATTTTACCAAAATCATAACCGAAGCAATTCGGTAAGAGTCACATACCTTTTTGGTGCTCTGATAGAACCAGACACACAATTGCTACCAAAATGTGGAAGATTTGAAGATAATTTTTTCCCGAATATAAATGTCAACAAAAAAATGAAGATTAACTGAAAGAGCGGATTATGTATATTTTTCAGAGCGATAATGCCAAAGCGATGATGCCAGATGATTGAATAGCTATCTGTTGCAGTTTAACGATTGCTAGCTTTTAACAAATCAATAACGTTTGAAATCAGTCCTACCCGAGAGTTATTACATAGGGAAGATGAGTTACGCAGGGTAAAAACTATCTCTGTACACGCGTGGAGAACAGAGAAGAGAATGGTGAAGTAGAGGAAGGGAATACTAGTGTGGAAGTATATTTTGATAAAGAGTTTTGAGAAGAAGAAAAAGAAGAAGAAAAGAAACGATTCCTGTCATGCCCGACTTTCAAATTTTATTTTTTTCTAGCATCAAAAATGTAAATAAATACACGAGACAGTTTTGATATCACGCGTATTAAGTTACATCCGTCCATACTTATATTTTTATAATTTCAATGGTATGCTTGCCCCTAAAACATTTCAATTTTTTTTTCTTCCTCAGAATCAGCTTTCAGGTACATAAACTGTTCCCCCCCCCCTTGATCTTCAAATGAGTTTTCCTTTAAAAAAAACTGCATGACAATCATTCGACGTCGTCTTGAGAAAAGATAAATCTGGCCCTAAAATTCTTAGCAAAAAGTGCTAAAACAGAAGTAAAATTTTTAATGACATTCAACAGTTACTAAGGAACACTTAAGATTATGTTGATTGAACGTTTAATCGGTAACAATATGATTCGCCAACTTTCTTTTTTTTTTCGTTCATATTACGCACCAACTACGCGCCTCACAATACACAACTAACTACGCGCATAAAGCCTATTAATGGAAATGCGCATTTCGTAGAAGAAAAAAAACGAGTCAATGTTCCAGTTGAGATATTACCCAGAAAGCATGTAACCTTTACGGCAACCTTGTTTCGGAATTTTCTTTTTAGTGTCACGAAAATGTTTCTAATAAAAACCTTTTTTCAATAAAGCAAAAATATTGCAATTTCAAACATTTCATCCTAAAAGGATTAAAAAAAAAATTTTTTTAAGTATTGTCACTTAGATAAAATGGTTGCTTAGGTCCATCGTGACGTTTTAGCTGACGTCACACTGGCGATAGGATCAAATTGCAATGTCTATTAAAATTTCATGACAAGGTGGATTTCAGCTGAGTATACAAGATGTTCCGAAAAGAAACCTTGTAATGACCTAGATTTAAAATTATTTTCTCCTTGAGTCTAGCTTTATTAAAGGATTTGTTCACGTTTGAAAACCCTAAGTCAACCTCGATTTAAGGTTTTTATGTAGAATGTTGTTTTCCAAGGTTTTTTATCAAGGTGATGTGGTTAGAATAGAGAGGATTGGTACAGATCTCGTTTGAAGGTTTAGAAGGTTTACACGTGAGCCGCATCACAAACCATTTAACATTAAGAGGTTTTTGCTGAGTTAAAGTAAATCTTATTTTGCTCTCTGGGTGCTTGATTAGAGCCAGTAAGATAGAGTCCTAATACAATAAGAATCTGATCATTAGATCAGAATTTATGAAGATATTCACCCTTTTCTTACATACATACTGTCATAGTTACACTTTTAGAGTAATGTTACAATCACACATTAATTTGAATCTTTCCATTTTTTTATTTTTATTTTGAATCTTTAGTTACCCTTAATTTTATAACAGTTTTAATTTATTCTATGCGAAATGTTAAAGCGGTTTTTTTTCATAATCTACATGTAAATTTAATGAATATTATTTTTTGTCTCGCAAAATTTCCTTTCTCTTTTGGGTTTCAACTTTCTATTAGCTGTTCTTTAAATTCAGAGGTCGTTGCCTGATATTAAATTTCTGGTGAATAAGAAAAGTATTTTTTTCAAACAAAATGGTGCGTCATTGAAAGGTATTTTTTTTTCTATACAAAATCTTAGACTGCAATCGTTAATTCTTTCTTTTCTTCATTTATTTTTGAGACTTTTAAACCTATCCCAATTGTCTGTTTTTCATACTTTCTAATTCTTAAATTTCAACTGGATGTCTGCTTGTCTGCAGGCTTGACCAAGTTACTTCTCATTCAACGATTTTTTTTTAATTATGCCCCCTTTGTTTTCCAACATCGGCTCTGGTGTTCCTATTTGTTTCTTCTCAAAAGTGGATTTCAGTCATTTTTTCGTGATGTTTCTCAGTCTCTTTTCAGTAACTTAAATGTCCCTTATATCTGCCTCTTTATGCTTTTGAATGTTTCGTTTATGCTAAGATCCTTTCATTTAATACCTTCCTGGGTGTTAGTTCCGGCAAATGAGTGTTGTACATATCTCCTTAACTCCCTTTATATCTTTCTCTTATACTTTTTTATAATATTTGCAAATCCAGATATAAATCCAAGTATAAATGTCCAATTTATACATATGTATATGTATAAATTGGTCAAATTATCTTGTCAAAATTATATTCTCCTAACTTCATGTTCACCGATCTGTTTGTTGTGTCAATTTATGTCTAAAAGAAATTTTCGTTTGTGAAAAAATAATGTGTGTGACGTAAAAAAAATTTACCATAATCTAACAGTCGTTGAGCAGCAGACAAATTTTTTGGGTTTACGACAACTAATGTTCAACTCCATTGCCTTGTCATTGCGAACCGAATCCAAAAAATAAAGGAACTCCTGGATGAATATGGATGAATATTGAGAGAAATGGGTCTTCGTGGAGGACTTTTTCATAAAACTAACCAGCGTTTGCGTTACACGGAGAAGAAAACCACTAGAACATCCCACGGATAAACTGCTGGCAAAGGGACTTTAAGCCATGATTCGTCTACCATTGAGGATATTTTACGTCACCACTGTGGTTTGTGCAAGCCGGATGAGGAATTCGTATCTAACAGCCCTCGCTGGGTCTCGAACCGAGAGGAATAGAAAAACATTTAAGGCAGAATTAAAGAAAATACGAGTACAGCATTTATCTTCATTTCATCTGCGTGTTGATTTTTTTTTCAATTACGCCTGCATGTAGTATAGTTTGTCTAGAGTAAGAACACCCCTAGCCATTCATCTGGACCCGTGGTGGATTAATAACTATTTCAAGTGTAGTAAGTAGGGTAACTGTTTAGGACAGTTTTTGGCTGGTGTCAGTTAGATAAAAGCAATCTTTTTCTCTGGTTTCTTGTGTTAAACCCAGATGAAAGAAAAGCTACCCTCTTTGAAACGTGCTATTCCTGCTCTTGTTACTCCTCAGACTTTTTGGCGGGGGGGGGGGGGGGTTNGGGGGGGGGGGGTAGGTTCTTACCGTAGACCAAATATTAGTACCTTTTATTATCTCCTTATTGGCATGTTGTTATTGGAAGTGTCTATATATATATATTTTTTTAAACATTTCATCTTTTATTTACTGAATACTATTTGTCATTTATTTTAATTTATGTTTCATTTGTATTTTTTCCCTCCTATTTCTAAATTCTAGTGGCGCCAACTTGTTCACTGTCAACATCACGTAGTTTGACCATTGAACCTATAGGGTTACTGCGTTACACCTTGTTTTCTACTACCGTACCTCTTGAGCAATCACGTTCCTTCAATAATTTCAAATTCTATTTTTATGGCACTTATTTATTGGTTTTGTAATTTACTTTGATAGTCAATTTACTTCTTTTTCGGCCTTAATTTTATGCGTTTGTCTTTACTCTGATATGCAAATTTACTTCCACTCCACTACAATGACAGACCAGTATTCAGTATCCAAATATAATTTTCTGCAACATTTTAAGGCGGCACAAATTCCTATATATATATATATATATATATATATATGCTCTTGTGTGGGAAACGTTCGATCCATTTCATAAACCAATAGCAACTACTAAGATTTCCCTCTTTCCCTAAATTAAGACATTTTACGGATTTTACTTTGCAAGATTTTCCCTAACATATAACCAAGGAGCGCAACTTTTCATGTGCAC